GTTCCTCGATTGGGATTATGCTCGTATTAAGAAAAAGGTTGAGGAATCCGATGGCGCTATCTTATTCCCTAAGGAGTATGCACGTTTAAGGACCATGCCCGTGTTACTGGTTCTTTTCTCCGGAGCTGTCATAGCATGGGGCTTTTGCGTCGACCGAGGGGTTCATATCGCTGTTCCTCTCGTCCTTCAAATTGTCTGTAAGTTGACCTCATGAGCTGCATGTCCTTGATAAAGTCGCGATCCCACAGCTGACGCTTCTAGTGGGGTATACATCGATTGCTATTCTCAACACGACCATGACTCTGATGATCGATATTCTACAAACTAGGAGCTCGGCTGCGACAGCATGTGTAAGTAACTTGCTCTGAAGAACTATGCCAGAAATTGGCAATGCTAATGTTGTCACAGACGAACCTCGTACGCTGCTTACTGGCAGCCCTCTTGGTGGGTCTCATCGACAGGATGACGGCTGCGTTGCGCATCAGTTGGAGTTATGTTCTACTTGGCGGCGTTTGTGCTCTACTCCTACCCCTCATGTATATAGAAATGAAGGTCGGGCCAAAGTGGAGGATGAGGCGAGACTTGAAGTCCGTGGATGACTAGAGACAGTGTCTGGCTTTGATATCTATGCCTCATTTACGTACCTCGATACGGCACAAAAGGCCATCAATACTTCTACCATGTTGTACTAGTGCCCAACCAAGAATCACATTTGATATCGCATCATCCACATATGGACACCACAACAGCCTACTTGGAATTTAGATCCAGAGGATTGCCGTTTTGAATTTCCTCGCTACCATCATATATCGAAGGCTTCGCGAGTGACCTGCAATACCACCGTCGTATTTGTTCCCAATACCAAGAGTAAAATAATGAAGCATACATTTCTATAGGGTAGGCAAGTGGCAATGCTGCATATCATGCCAGTAATTGCTCTTACACGTGCGCCGCTATAGAAGCCACCAATTACCACAGCTTGTACCGATGTCGCCAGGTGCACCCCCTACACAGCCCCAGTTACAGCTAAGATAGCAAATATTTGAGGCCTTTTAAGGATGTTTAATGTACTTGCCAGTCTGAATGTGCCGTAACACAACGCGGACGGGCCCTGTGTTGCGCTTTGTACCTGTTCCTCTACGTGTGAAAACAGCCTCTACAACTTGAAGAATAAGCCTTATTGCTTGTATCACGTTCCATAAACAGTGAATTTCAAGCCTGCAACTGGAATATAGAATAGCCTATTTTATTATATGGCAGTAAGTTCGCTTTTACCGCTTTTGCCACTGCGGCATCCCTTGTACTTCGACCTCAATACAATTTAGCCCCCAGTACTTGACTTGCGGCAACACCCCCAATTCCTTTCCTTTTGGGAGGCACACACCAAGAAGCCTAAGCACGTATGAGATTATGGGCTGAAGCAGGATTAAGTAAGAATAAAACGATTGTATTAGCTAGCAGACTATCTTTCCCTCCTCTCAGTCCAATCGGCGGATGAAGTGCCGTTCAGAATAAAGGGAAAACGCTGAATATCGCAGTTGTTCAAAGGCTGTCACCTAACCCGGAATATTAAGAGGCAAGATTAACATCGTCACTGTCATCTTCGGAAGTGGCTAGCGAACACTCGGTTCCCAATTCGAGTGACAATGGGGTGTGCTCGCCTTGTTCTCGTAATGAGCAACTTCTTGTCTCCATCGATCTTGTGGGAGGCGTCCCTTGATGACTGATAGGCTCGTAATCGGAATCAGAACTGCTATCATGGGTGTTACCAACAACTGAAATCTGTGCACCTGAGATTCTTTCGTTTTGCCCCTGTGATGAATCACAGCTCCCCGCTGAAGGTAGTCGAAAATGAAGGAGATGACCAGTAGGCTTCCATCCGAGTTGTCGCCTCTTCGTCCGTGGCGACGTTTCCGATACCTGTATTTGGCGTTTGCGAGGCGGAGGATGGTTCTGTGTGCTGCTCTTCAGGCCTCTCAGCTGTTCCTTCACGGAATCCACAGTGCAGGATGTAAGCGTTCCCTCTTCACTAAGTCGAAGACCACGACCTTCATCATCCACATCCGTGTCGAGCAAGAAACAATTTGAAGAATTTTCAAAATACATGGGACAGGAGAAAGGAATCTCAGATCTCATGACTGTATGTGCATTTTTGCTGGTCCCCAAATAATCTCTGTGCAGCAAAAGGATCAAGGCATCACCCTTGTAGACGATTGATTGAGTGAAACGCCAGTAGCCTCTTTTGGGTGGAGGGAGCTCGAGGACGTCGTAGCTCAGTGATGCCGTAAGCTTCTTTCTGCGTTCTGAGACTTTTAAGAACGGATCACACACGATCTTGAGCCATTTCTGCCCAGAACACCATGTTGTGAACGGATAAGACTTCGTCTGTATACCAGATACATCAGTCTCCAATCCCCAATAGAGACAAGTAAAACGCTTTCAGTCACAACTCGAAGCTCTGCATCAATGACATCTGACAAAGTAAATTTGTACATACTGCATCAGCGGTGACTTCGATCTCTTCTTGCCAAAAGATTGCCTGTTTCGCGGCGGCTGACTGACTTCGCTTCCATGCCGAACCATCGTCATTCTTCAAGGACCCAACTTGGATTCCGAATGCTGCCCCTCTTTCCATGAACTCAAGGCCCGTCATGGTAGTCGCCGTGGCAATTGCCGCTCCTTTGGAGATATTCCATGAACTACAGCGTAAGTTAGCAAATATGACGTTTGAGAAAAGCTCTGGAACAGCTATTATTACTCCTTATCTCCCGCCTTTTCGTGAAAGAAGAAGGGATCATTGATTTTGGCTTTCCTGCACGCCTCCCAGATGTGGGTCTGGACGACGGAGCTTTTGCCGCTTCCGCCGGAAACTACAACTCGTACCCTGTTGCTGAGAGTTGCCGCCTCAGCAATTTTCTCCTTTGCCAACTCGATGGGTCGTTTCATCCCATCCAAAAAGCAGCCCTAGGCTTCTTCTTCCGAAAGATACACCGTCAGCGATTTCCTTGCATTCTGCGGATCTGTGATATGCAGCGACATCTCCTTGATCTTGTCCGAGCGTAACTTCTTGATATGCAGATGAAAGTTTTCAAGAAGCTGCGTCCGCTCTCTTGGAGGTAGCTTGGATTTCAGCTTCTTTTCCAAGTATTCTATTGCAAATCTCCCGAAGGCTTGCTCCCACAGTTGAGTGCCTCCCCTTGTGCCTGGGCGAACAAGATTTAGCCACGGCTGTTCCACAGCAGCACAAAAAGAGACAATCAAAGTACTGACTTACAGAATGTGTCGCCTACTCTATAGTAGCTAAACACCTGTTTCTTGCCCTGAACAACAGTAAACATGCAGCCGTTCTGATATATATTGGTCAGTATCATCCCATACCGGGCGCGGCTTCGGATGTGGGGAGCAAGGTGTCTACATTCTTACCAAAGTGTAGCCGCCAAAGTCCAAGAAGACTAAAAGTGCAGGTTTGTCGGAGATTCGAAGAATCTTATTGTGGAGGCGTTGGTTCCAGAACAAGTTATGTGCTGAAGCTAGACTTTCCACGTGGAAGTCCACATCTGTGTCGGTCGTAAAAATATCAGGGAAATCAGGCATGACTCTCCTAATGATGTCTTCGTAGAAGGTTCGCTCCTCGTGCCCCCAGAATGCTGGGTGGGACAGCCCAACCCGAAGGATCTTGACCTCGCTGAGCACACGACCGTGCAAATACCCTCCTTGACAGTAACTTTGTACTTGCTGAAGAACAGCTCTGGCGATGGCGTCCATTCCCTCGTCAATAAGCTCTTGAGAGCTCCTGATTCCCCCCCTGTTCAGATTCTTATTGATAGCCTTGAAACTATTGATGGCGGCGGAATTGCTGCTGAAAAGTTCCTTGGAGGGGATAGGAATTCGACTGTCGTCCATTCTTTCACCAAGGTACACATCGCCCTTTCCGTCTAGATACAGGGCCGAGTTGAAGGCACCCTTTTGGTATCGCTCATCGTGCCCAGGATGAGATCCTGTGTTGAATACATCTTGTAGAATCCGCTCTCTACCTTGGAAAGTGAGTAGACTGACTCTGATTGCGGTGCTGCCCCAATCCCAGCCCAATATCCTGTGATCATCTTGTCAGAGGTATGGAAAGTAGTCACAATCTCATACGTATTCGTTCGGTACTTTCGGACAAGAGCTCTTGTCACTTACGCTGAATGAATCTCTGGAGATTCCATATCGTCATAGAGAATACAATCGTCCGATATCTGGGAACTTGACGGTGGAAAATGTGAATCCAAATGCTGGATCAGAAACGAAGGGAGGTTGATGTGATCTGAGTTAACTGTTGAGGTCTCTAAAGTGGAGATAAGTGAAAAGTGTAGCATATCAAGCAATATAGTTCGAATCAGCACTGCGATGTCAAAGCTTGCAATTGTGCAATTGAATATGGATATATTTGAAAGTTTTTGATCAAGGAGTCATTGTGGGAATCAGAGGGACCAGCAGAAAACATTGCGAACTTGTCATGCTTGCAAGACAATGCAGCAAAGCTTTTGATTGTTTTCCTTGGGATCAGCAGCATAGACTATAAGGGAGTCCTAATTTGAGACAAACAGGTTAAATGTTTGCACCCAAAATTGCATGGCGTAAGCGCTTTCGAAGTCTCGAGATCATTAGTGGGGAACGTCCTTGCAGCTATTGTTTTCTCTTTGTTCTTATCTGCTTACGACATGTTTGCTTGCCTTCTCGCGAAAATAAGCGAATGCCCTGAAAATTCATTGACGACATTTGTTTGCGTGCGGCAGGCTGCATTATCAATATTGGTTGCGTGTAGTGAGGTGCAAACACAAGAAAAGTTAAGGCAAGCCTTAATTCTTGCTTGTCTGATCTTAAGGTACTTCTATCATCTGCACTCTGAGTTTCCAAACCCTTCCTAAATGTGTCGCAAGAGAAACACCTTGCAGGTCTTGCCCCTATCAGTACATCCTCTTCGCCACCCGTCGTAAGACAAAACCTGCCTGTTCATCATGGATGCTGACCTGCCGATGACACCTTCAATCTCTCGGAACGCCGCAGAATATGTTCAAAAGCTGACACAACACTACAACACTCACCTCGAGGGGGAACTGAATCGGGGAATGAAAAAGCTCGTCAATCAATACGAAACCTTCAGGGAAAGAATGCGGGATAAACTCGTGTCCGAAACGCCAAGCCGATTTCCCTCTGATGAGAAAGGGTCTATCGTTGCTCAAATTGAGAGAACCTTTCTCTGCAACGTCAGCAACTTCTCTCTCGAACAGGGTCAAGGGCTTTTCTTCTCTGCCTTGGAGTATGCCCCCTCAAAGCGACCGATGTTCACTACACCGCCTGAACTTCGTCAGCCTAGTGAAACTTCGATAGTGGTATTTAATCAGACTCTTTGGCCTGTTCTCCCCTTCATACCACTCACAATCAAGATAGTCATCAGACGGGCTTTCTTCAAAAAAGACTGAAAAGACCACAGAGCCTCACTTGGAATCTCGGAATCCTTCCCCCCAAGTGCCTAGTCATGACCGTCTAGACTTGAATAAGAGACGCAGGCGGAATCATAGCCTTGAGAACTTGGAAGATACACAGACACATAGATCATCCCCTGCGTCATCGACCAAGAAGCCGCTCCAAAGAACGATTCCCAAGAGCGGCCGTCAGAAGCTTATATTGAAGAAACAGAACAACAAGCGCTTCCAACGTTCTAGACAGAAGAATGTAGCATGCACCTTGACGTCGTCAATCACAGTATACTACCCCAAGAACTTTGTCTTTTCTTACACACTCAATGACGACACAAGTTTCTACATTCTTTCTTGCCCAAAGATGAGCAAAGGCTGCCATGATCCAATCTTCAATAGTGATCCCTTTGAAGATGGTCTAGCAACTGCGCACTTCAAGAATTGCGGCATCGCTTTTACCAGCGACGACGAGATTGTTCGTACATACGCTCGGCGAGGTCAGTGAACGGGTACTTGGTCTCCTTAATGTGTTTATTTGATCTCACATATCAATGCTACGTAGTCAAATCGCCACGGAACGCCCCAGTCAAGCAGAGCTGGGTGAAGGAACACAACGACGGACTGAAAGCCGGAAAACCATCAAGTCCGCAGAGTAGGTCTAGTACTTTGGCATTCCAGATTCACGCTTAAGACTCACTCAAATACAACACAGACCCTGCCCAGATCAGTACCTGTCATGGTATCCCCGTATGCGGGAAGGAGACGAAGGGTAAACCTGGCGGGACTGAAAGTAACAAAGACTCTAGCTTCGAGCCTGAATCAGACGATCACAGAGACGAGTTGGCTATGGGGTCACACTATGGCATGGATTGAAACCCGACTGGACCGCTTCATCAATATGTATACAGCAATTCTTTGTCTCTTAGCTTCCAGGAAACTTTAGTGTGCCAAAACCCTGGATACGGAGCACCATTCGTTCAACATGATTCTAGTCTTACCGGATATCCGTTACAAATAAGACATATCTTCAAAAGCTTATGCAGGGTTTCCAACTTTTCTAAACGATCATCTTCTGCTTGCGTTTTTTAGACGACTAGGAAGTGGCAACGGCCTATGACATTGAACCCAGGTCGTATGCAGTGCTGCGCTCTGTAAACACGTGCACCGGTAGCGTCATAGCTCGCTCATGATACGCTCGGTCGGGGTTCTGAGCGGTCGGTCTGCCAGCACTGACTGTCACTCATCTAGTCCAGGGAAAATCATATGATGTCTTGGTTTGTCCAATCAGTATTTCTAGAGGTTGCTGCACACTTATCCAAGAGTACCACTTGTGTTGTACTACAGAGATCTTGCATTTGTGGCTTTCATTTGAAGCAATTATTTTGCAAGGAGCGGCATTTGATAACCAATAGCCCAGCAGGATGTCGTCACGAAAAGGACCTTGCAGGAGCATTGCAGCATCACCTGATGCACTAAGTCTGCCTCGTTCAGAGGGAATGAATCCGAGTCGGGCTGCCAATATAAAAACGCCGTAGTTCTCCTACAAACCTATTCCGACCTAGCTCTCCACCCAGCCTCGAAAACAGTCCTCATTTTGGTAGCATCGCCAAGACATCCAGAAGGTTTCCTAAACCATCCGCCCTCCCCGAACTGCCTGCTCCACTTCAATAATCTGACACCAACTCCCTAACATAATCAACACTCCCTTAAGCACATTAGATATTGTGGCACACCCTCGTCTCTCATTATACCATGCCTCAACGGAATCACTCATTTCCCGGAGCAGGTCAAGATTCGATGGGAGGGCCAGGAGATGTAGCTTCTGACGCCGGTTTACAACATTTCGCGAATTCCTTTTGCGACATTAGAACAGGACAAGTAATGCCTTCATTTTGGTGTGAATCAATTGATGTTCAGGTTTTATTTGGATACTCCATCAGAAGGCTTATCTTTCGCCATGGAAACTTGTTTTACGTCAGGATTATTTACGACAATTATATTGCGCATACCTCCCAGTTTATTACTGCTCCGATACCCCTATCACCTTTGAGCGGTTATGTGCCTTCGGCAAGCTACAAATCCTTAGGGAATCAAGGAACAAGAGGTGAGAGATTCGACCGGCTGTTCATGAATTTGTCGACGCCAGATGATCTGTATGGCTGTCTTTTCAGACAGTCAGGTGCTTGTGCGGAGATAGGCAAGGTCATCTGGTGCGATGGTGGTTTCTGGGCTTATGACAATTCCAAGGGACGTCCTGGAATCATCCTGGGCTACGATAGCCACACTCGCATTTATATAATTTCTCCCACGTCAACGAAATCTCAAGATCGTACCGACACACACCTGTTCCTTGCCGGTAGCCCAGATACCCAAGATCGCGCAGACCTGCATTTTGTCGACGGCAGCAATAACAGGACTTATATGCCAAAAGACTGTTATTTCAACTATAGGGATACCTGGGCCGTACCTCACGATTGTGTCCGGCCTATGGATAAAGGCACCATTCGCGTCGACAAAAACAGTCGGATTTTTGATACCCAAAACAAATTTGCGGAAACCTAGGCTTTATCACCTGAAAGATAAAACTTGAATTCCACCAATCTCTCCTCGGCAACAGAAGCTACCCTCAGCCGTTGGCGCAAGTAGGATGTGCACACAGTCTTTTCACTTGAGCCCGAACAACACTACTGGGTGGACGGACCCCAAGCTTCCGAACAGGCCGAGACCGAGGTCTAGAGAAACTCATAATTTCGAAGAGAAATGTTTACTGCCGTGGAAGATCGATTGTTAATTTCATTCAACTTGTCGGTCGAACAGTCATACCCCGGAGAGGTAGGGAGGGGGAGGTTGATGGCGTTGGTACAAGTCCTTCATTTTGAGAGCCTATCCTATTTCCTAAGAAATGGTCAAAACTAAAAACCCCCCGAGAGGGTGGAAAGAAAACTTTAAGGAAAGAAGAAGAAAAAAAAGGAAAAAAAAAAAAAAAAAAAAAAAAAAAAAAAAAAAAAAAAAAAAAAAAAAAAAAAAAAAAAAAAAAAAAAAAAAAAAAAAAAAAAAAAAAAAAAAAAAAAAAAAAAAAAAGAAAAAACAGAAAAAACAGAAAAAAGAGAAGAAAAAAGAAGAAAAAAAGGATTTCCTTTGTCGTTTTTATAGCATTGGAGCAGGCCTCCCTCCTTTCATATTCAAGTTCGGCATGAAGAGATTTGGGGGGCCGGCTTAGGGTCTACCTCCATGTCATGGTGCTATCACACTGTACAAAGGCTGTGTCCGGGAGGGGCGAGGTCGCTAGATTTTAGTTAGGTGCTTTGTGGCCAACGGCAAAATCTACCTTGTGCTCTCCATCTAGGATCTTGACCAAGATTCCGTACCTCTACATGAATGCCTGTTGACTAGCTAACTCCAAGCTCAACCTAAGTAATCTCAACAAGGATATCTGAACTGTGTAGGGTTTCAATCTGCTGGAGAGTGCGAACTTACTCTCCCCTTTCCCAGATCATTAGGGATTTCAATTACGTACACTGTAGGGTAAATAGGAATGACATATGTAGTTTGAATCTTAGACTGTAGGCACCTATTCGAACAGCAGATGTATCGAAGGTGAATATGCTGGAGTATCCAATTATCAAGTATACATCGATACAGGTTCATTGCAGAGTCCGGATATAATAGTACGGGTGCTGGAAATAGAGACGGTGGAATCGAATAGGGACTTGGACAAAGTGATGTGCGCTGGTCTCGATAGGCAGACGGTCTGCACTAACCCGGCAGTATACTTTCAGCGTGGCGGCCGCTAACATTGGTTGACCCTAGAAATACAGTGATCCCCCGAGTCACATCCAATAGCCCCCGAAGCATGCCCTGAACGGACTTTCTCTAGAATGTCGAGTTACCAACACGATGTTCATGCATTGACATGATGTTACTCAATTGTACAAGTACTTATGGATGCAGTTCCCTGGAATTCCATATCGAGTACATAGCACTAGCGATCGTAGCAAGTGATTTACACAGATTTCCTTCCGTTGCACATCAAAAGGAAGGCAATCTGCTCCTAGGCTTTAGTAGATAGGCAGAAGCTGAATTACAGTGCAACCCCATAGAGGCCTCTGACCCCAACCATAGAAGCTTAGAAACGGTTCAGCTCCATTCTCGCACACCATGAATGCACCATTAAAATCTGGACCCATTTCCCCGGGATAGTATACCCCGTTATCGTTGAGGGTGAGACCTTGTGTACCGTCTTCGCACTTGAGCTCCACTGGTCTACCGCTAGGTACCATCGCAGGCCCGCGCCAGGGCACCACCATGCCGGAAAAGGAGGATGAGTCGCCGCCAAAGTCAACGCCAAGGGTATTATTATTGGCATAGAACATGCTTCCTTGACTCTCGGGTACCAGGATCACGGTGGCTTGACATGCGGCGTCGGAGACGTAGCCGAGCTCATAACCCTGGATAATAGGCCCATTGCCTGGGGAATCGGGGTAAAGCATGTTGGCCCATAGACGGAAACTGTTGGTTCCATCATCGTTCCTGGCGGAAATGGTTGCCGCTATTGCACCAGCAGCAAGAACGGTTGTTTTCAGGATGGCTAGAATGACCATTTCGAAGTTGTCTTTGGATAGAATGAGGAAGGTTGGCAATTAGGTTTCTTTGATAAACGTATGGACGCACAAAGCATTTGGTTACGGTCTGGAGTTGATATAATTCAAGTTACCGTGGAAAGCTTCGTCCTATTTATATTGATGTCCACCAATGTTCGGTATGACTTCAAGACGTGTTTCAATATGGTAATGTAATGACATTTTAGGCCTTGTCGACATTCCGCACATGTATGTCTTCTGTTTGTGCCCTGATCTTCCCACACCGCTCGTAAGATGGTGGGCTTACGAGAGTCCATTCGACTGCAGGTCTGCCTATGAGGACCTCCGCAAGATAGTGCCTCGGGAAGGAACTTCGCTAGTCGGACGCTGGCCAAGGCTGACTTACATCAATTGTCCACGATCTACCTCGTATCCTTGAGGCAGTATTACGTGCATAAGCTGTAAGATCAGATATGCCTAAGCGAATTCCAACAAGGCGATGATGACCAAGCGACCAGAGGAAAACAAATACGAGGGACTGTACACAAGAAACGTCATGGGCTTTCGAGTTATCAAAAGAGATTTAATACCCAGCTAAAGGCCGAAGGATGTTCCCTCTGGCGGTTTGATTTATCCAGCGGCAGCTTAGTATGGGAACAGTGGCCTCAGGGGGAGTTGTTCTGAAGCTGATGCTAACTCCTTATGTTAATTATCGATTCAAAAAACAAAAAAAATGTTTCGTCTTGTTTAGCGAGTTCATGGTTCCTGCAACCTGGTGCTGCTATGTCGCCAATTCCTCTCAATCACCTTGCGCTCAATGCTTAGTTATGTGCCACTTTTACCCGCATTGCAGAGTAAGTATGTGAGAGCCCTTAAAGACCCGACCCAATGCCTTCCACGCCAAAGGTTTCGACAGTGCGGCCTATTTTCCCTTACGTGGCTACACACAACCTATAATGACCTGATTGAAATGATGATTCGTTCACAAAGTGCATTCTTGTGGGCATTGTGGACCAGATGATGGGGAGTGAGATGACAAGATTTTGTGGTGGACGTAGTAGGCTTCACTTAGATCGCCTGTATATCTCGTTTTGATACTATTTGGCAATGATTTCCTTTTTCTTGATTCCGACTCCGAGGCCACAAACCAAGGCTAGATTTCGCCGAAAAGGAGACTGTTGGCGTCCAGCTCGTCAGGCCTGGGAACTTCATCGGACTGCCTGAAATGCGCGTACCAGGCCAGAAACTCTGGAATCGTCTCAAAGATGTGTAGGCCGTGATCCAGCGTGGAAAGAGTGTACCTCCACTTCCAAGGATCTTCGTCAGACTCGCGGCTATACACAATGCTGAAGTTGGCATCAGGCCCTGTGCCAGGCGCCCACCCTCCCGCGATTTGCCAGCCCTCTGGGAGGCCCGCGTGCTGCGTCAGGTCCTCAGGTGTCATCACCCTGTCGGCGTGCGGGCATAGATCATCTCGGCAACCCCACCAGAAGGCCGGGTGGGCCCGGTTCCGAAAGACGGGCAGCCCATAGCCCACAATACCGTCAACGAGCTTGGCCAGCACGCGAAAGTCCTCGGGAATCGAAATGGCTTCTCGCACGTTTTCTCTAGACTTTCGCTTCAGACTCTCTTCAATGACGGAGAGGTACTCGCGACGAATAGCGTCACGCTCCTCAGAGGTGCCTTCGTGCTCTTGCATCACGTAGGTACCGTCGAGGCCAATCCTCGGCGCCAGCTCATCGAAACGTGTAAGAATCTCGCTGGGCTCTGAAACGCCAAAGTCTTTGATGGTGGTGTCAAGAAGCGTGTTGAGACCGTCCAGGCGGAGTTCTTCGACGTCCTCATCGTCTTCTAGATCGTCAGGTACCGCGGTGGCAATGAATGGTACGTAAACATCGAGAGCGCGGCGGTTCTGCGTTGAGATGAATGAACGATATGCAGCCAGCGAGACTGCGATGTCATCTGGAGATGAGGCCATCTTAGGAGATGAGGGCTGAGGAATGGATTCTAACATGCGGTGTCAAGCAAGTGATTCTGAATAGCAATTCAACAGGGCCTCGGGGAGAGGAATGAAAGATCTCTGGGTCATGTTGGACGGAAGCCTCTTCTAGATTTTAGGCAGCCCCTTAACTTACACTAGCCCGTAGTCTAACCAAACCGGGATCGTCAAGCGTATGTGGAGTACATTTTGTTTGCGGAGACATCATGTGCTGGAAGACACTGAATTTCCTCAAACTATAAGGATCAACGTTTACGTGGTTCGCGGGAGTAATGAGTAAAATTGCACGAGTATAAGAAGCAATTCTCGGTACCTCCGAGATTTTAAATACACGAGAATAAATGAAATAAGAAGTGGAGTTGTGAGGGCATTTGGCTCAACATGTGAGATCGACCCGGCTTGTCTTCCCTCCTTTGATCTGAACTCGGCCGCATACTCTGCTGGCCGCGCGTGTTTGTGGTCAAGAAAGAGACATCGAAGCATCGACGCTCCTTTTGTAGCCAGCAATGACTTTGCCAGGATCTCCGAGCTAGAATTAAACCGGCTGGCCACCGGGGCTGAAGTTGCCGCATTCCGACAAAATAACATTCCAACGCTCGGCCTCGTGGAAGCGCTGGGTAGAGGGAAGGTTCGGGAAGGGGATCTCGCGCCAGTTGACGCACTCCCACATGGCGAGGGAAGCAAAGTCGGCGACGGTGCGGCAGGGGACGTTGATGGCGTACGTGTTGTCGTTGCACCACGCAATGGCCGAATCCTGGTTGCAGGTGGTCCGGATGCACTGGCGCGCCTGCACGATGCAACGACCGACGTTGTACAAGTGGTTAATGCCAGTTTGGATATCAATCTGGGACACGAGGCCCCAGCGGCCAGCTCCGCAGGTTTGAGAATAAGCCTGTTGTTCATTAGTAAGACTGCTGTTGAAGTGTGGTAAAAATAGGTACCTGGCGAGCTTCGAGAGGGCTATTGTCGTGCATATCTCTCTGTTCAACACCGGACTCGGTGATGTTGACAAAGATGGAGGCCTCGGGGGCGTCGATGAGGATCTGGGCGTTGATAGCCTCGATGTCGGCGCCCTCGTAGTACACATCAGGACCTCCGGGGGTAAGGGGCCCCTCCCAGCCCAGAAGGCCGATGGGGTAAGGGATCACACTCTTATCCCTAGCAACGAGGCCAGAATCGACTGGAGAGGCCTAGATAAAGCAAGATTTAGTAAAGGGGTCTATACCCATAAAAAAAGGTAGGTTGTCAGAGCCGCGACTTACATAAGTGATGCGAGCCATGGTGGCCGCCACGAGTGCGGAGAGAACAGTCTTCATGGTGAGTAGAGTAGATTGAATTAGACTCTCTGATGTTAACTGGGAGATTTCGGTTGATGATGAGAGCAGGTGGATTGGAACCTCATGAATAGTGAGACTTGATCAAGTCTTTATACTCCGCGAGTGAGGGGCTGAACCTTTCAAGCCTCGGTCATGAGGCTTGCCTTCCCACTAGAATAAATCAGATTCGACACACTGCCTACTCCGAAGTCTCAATAAGAGACTTAGTTTCCTCGATAATTTTACACTCGACCCAATCAAAGCATGTAAAAGTTTTCGAAGTCCAATTTTAATCCTGCGGGATCTGCCAAGTCATAGTGAAGTTGTAGTACATAGCTCAGGGCCGCCAGGGTTAAGCTTGGCAGCAATACGCGAATTCTTGACTTCTCCTGTATCAACACCATAGACTAAGTAGCCTCATAAGGTTGAGGTCTGGGCACAGTGACTGAAGTTCTGTCTTGGTGCCACATGTGACTGAGAGGTCCACACTGACGGAAGTTCTTATAATGGCTTGGCACCAAGCATAACCCCCTAGTTTTGGGCTGATTCAACTCTCCATTTGAGCTCAGGCTCAACGGGAATCTCCAAGGTTTGATTTTTGTTAAAGAATGGTTTAACAAAAGGTTTGGGAGAGGCCATAGATAACGGTCGTAGGCCTTTCCAACTTGATTGTTGTGACTATGCTTTGAGTATCCCCCTAAAGGCCGAACAGCAATCGAGGTGGGAGTAGCAAAGGAGTTTAACTGACAAGAGAGTTAATAGTTCCTTGGTATAAAGTGAGCAAAGGGAACTAAATGTAGCGGGCTTCGCGATGCAAACAGCAAGCGAGCAAATCAAAGCGAGGGACTTTTGCGGTTAATAATTCGATGGACTCCCTCGGCTAGCTACCTACGGCAGGACGTTGGCATTGCATGGAGTTCCAGTACATGCCTATTACTAGCATCCCGAAGTCCCAAACAATCTCCTTGAAGTAAGCTTATTTTGGCCGAGGACCCGATGCGAGGTGTAACCATGCCTATTCAGATTTTGACCGAGTGCCAAGAGGGATTATCGTGGTATAGCGCACCCTCATGCCAAGCCAAGCTGAGAACTGAAGTCCTTTTCCACCGCTTGGCACTTGAGGGAATACTTTCTGTCAGAAACATGTTCAATGTTATCCCCAGCGGCTAGGGACGGCTACATAGTGGACTAATGTGTTAATTGCTCATCGAGAAAGGGTGTATCCCGGGTTGTATCTTTGAGCATAACAACGGCAGCTGCGCCGCTCGCGGGCTTGTATACGGGTCACTCGTCTGGCAATTCTCGAAACCATCAGGCGGCTATCATGATGGCATGTGTGATTATTCTTCATTCTGCTCTTCGGTTTCAGGCGCCGAAGTTCATTCGTTGTCGCTCCAAGCTAGTCCATATTTGCTATTCGACCACTTGTCCACCCAGCGAGTCCGAAAAGTCCGAGAAAGCCAGCATACATGCTTAGAAGCAGGCTCGTCCGAACCTTCCGCGACCCTTCGTACAGTCAACCCGGGGTCTAAATCGATAGCCGACTACAAATCTGGAGTGGGTTGTCGAAGGTTAGGGTCTTGGCTTGGGCGACTGCGCACCCGGGGAGACCACTGGGGGAACTCGTAGAACGTCGGCCGTCCCAGATGACATGGTGGATTTTCCAGCTCAATGCCGACGGCCTAATTGCTTAAGTCACCGGCTTACTCTATGTTCAAATTTCCCCGGATGTGGAGGCGCCGAGCATACAGGGAACGTCCCAGATGCTGATCAGCCGCCAGAGGACGACGCCGTTTTAGCTCGAGAAGAGGACAGAGTTCAACTGAGGCCCGAATGTCCAGGGCAATATAAGGTGGGAGGAGATTGGATAGCAAGGCAAGGCAGCATCTGAACTCCGGCAATGGAGACCGAATGGGATATCTCTCAAGAGCCTAATGTCGAGGGGCGGAGAAGACGTCCCAATTCCTTAGCCCTATTTTCGTGCTCAGGCATTAGCGTATGGCTGGCAACTGGGCGAGGGACTAGCAGATGGCTTGCTTGACAAGAAATAAATGTCCCTTGATTCTCTCGGCTTGCGCCCGGTCCCCATGTTGGGTTCCAAAATATTTATCCAAGGTGTATGCTGTATTTAAAAAGAGTATGCATGCCGCTCCCTGAAGCGCCTCCGCCTGGCCAGATACCGTTGTACTCGTAGCTCAAATCCCACCGGCCACAGCCACTCTCTGAACTCCCCCTTGAAATATATATGCGTGCAGATTTTTGTTCTCCCCCTTTGGTCTCGAAAAAAGGACAATCCTCGTTGGTTACGCGAGCCAGCCTGGCATCTAGCCGCGTCCACCGTTGTAGTCAGCGCCGCCAGCCTTGCGCAACCGCTTGACAATGTCGTCCTCGTCCAAGTCGCCCTTGTGATCGGCGTTGACCGTTATGCTGTGGTGCGGCAGCACCCTCTTGACCTCGCTGCTCTCGATGCTGACGCGGGCCTTGCGCATAATCTTTGTGTTCTGGCCGATCCAAATGACAAAGGCGAACTTGACGCGCTTGCTCTCGACGTCGTTGGCGTACTCGACGCGGACGTAGGCGTACTGGACCTGTGAGTCGTCCAGCTCCGAGGCCAGCTCGGACAGGCCGCCAGTGCCCGTCTTTGTGAGGGTCATCTTGTTGCCGACGGCGCTGGCGTAGGAGATGAGGAGCCAGCTCGTCTCGTCCTTGTCGGAGCGAACGGCATCGTAGGCCGCGGCAATTTCAGGGGCGTCGAGACCGGACATGTTTTGCGGCTGGCGGATGTTCGGGATCGGGAGTGCTAAGAGAACGGCGGCGGAGGAGGAACGAGGAGGAGGTGGTCCCTTTGGTGGAGACTGGGGTCCGGGTGTGAGCGGGAAAGGTTGGAGACAAAGAGAAAGTTAGATAGGACGAGAGGGAACAAAGGTTCTTCGCTTCTCGAATCCTGCAGGTGGTTTGGGGCCGGAGAGGCAGAGGGAGGGGTAGTCGTTGATTGTGTAGGTGCTTGGATGAGAGTGGTTCGAGAAGAAGTGACAGCGGATTGGCGGTGACGAGACTCGACGTTTGGCAAAGGACGAAACGGCGTCCAGAAAGGCCAAGGTTGCATTCTTCTCCCACTCGTCTGGTTCCAGGTCCCGCCCATCTTTCCTTTAACCCCACCATCCGAGGGCGAATCAAGCTGGAGGGGGAGGGGCAGATTTGTCTACGTACCTAACTATGGTGACCAGTCTTCGAGCACAGGCCATGGCCGGCCTCACCCGAAGTCCCTCCGGTCCACTATCGGAATGCTGAGTCATCCTACCCTCTCAGCGAAGTGCCTTGTACACCGAACCGTGTGCACTCGGCCAGTTCGGTATGTCTCGGTGTGAATTGTCCCCACCGAATTGCATTTCCCATCATGCCACCCCGATACACTGGCTGAAAGCTTAGCGGCTGTTGAAACATTCACACAAAAGCCTTGCTTAGATACATCTCATCCATCAGATGGAGCAGCAACCTACAGCCCAGGTATTCAGACGATGCCTCAGTGTCACCGTACTGCTTCGACACTCAAGTCAATAGCGTTGCAGTCGGTGACTAAGCAACTGCTTCTTTTCTTAGACCTCGCACACCGAGCGTCATGGACCCCTAACATCCCGATATCCCTGACCCCTGCGCTGTGTCGACCTTGCGGTAGATCGTGCGACGAAACAGCCCCTCATGCAAAACGTCCATCACTGACCTTGACAGGCCCCGTCCAGCACCTGTACCAGAATGACACAAATCTGGAGGGTTGCTTGACGTCGCACGCATGATAAACCTCGACACCCCTTAAGCGCCCAATCCAAGCGCGAATAAGCGTCCGGTCCCCCGGAGGGACATTGGCGCGTCTCAAGACCGTTCAACGTCCGCCCGCTCGGTCCTCGATGCACACCGCGCCCCCCGTGGGGGAACCCGGTCAAAAGTCGAAGGTTCTGCGACACAAGAGCAGACCGCATGACATCAAATACCACACCAGATAGCCCCTTCTCCGACCACAGGCGAGCAGGAGCTGGAACCAGGGGCCCTCTCAACTTGTTTGGTGTTTCTTGGCTCCATATTTGTCGGATCGGCCGGCGGGATATATCAAACGTCGACGTCGCCTCTCGAGCTCTTTCAAGCTTGTTTCCAGAAACAGACGACGCAGCTATTGCTACAATCTTCACCAAGCCCTAGACTTTCTGCCTACTAATCGCCCGAAATGTCCAATGAGTTGGCTAGCCAGGCGGGCTGGGAAGCCAACCCGCTATCCTTCCTGTACCGCCAGGCCGTCATCACACCAGCCGAGATCCCGGAAGAATTCGACTTGTCTGATTGCACTCTCATCATGACGGGTGCCAGTAGCGGCCTCGGGCTCGAAGCAAGCCGTCAGTTCCTTGAGCGTTCACTCGGTCGCCTCATTATGGGTGTCCGCAACACATCAAAGGGGGAGGCCCTTGCCGAAGGCCTACGACGGGAATTCCCCATGGCGCAGATCCAAGTATGGCACCTGGAAATGGAGTCATATGAGAGTGTTAGAAACTTTGTTGCAAGGTGCAAGAAGGAGCTGACGCGGATCGACATCGTCATCCTCAACGCTGCGGTGGTCGCCCAAAACTTTATAGTCTCCCGGGAAGGCCACGAACTGATGCTCCAAGTCAACTTTCTCTCTACCACATTACTAGCCCTACTTCTACTCCCGGTCATGAAGCAGAAGAAGCCGGCGGGAGACCAGGCGAGGCTAGTCATCGTCAGCTCGGATTTTACGTATTGGCATACGCCAGAAGAGGACATGGTGACGGGTTCAATGTTCAAGCCGGCCGACAAAGAAACCCTGTGGGAATCTGGGAAGAATTATCAGCAGTCCAAATTCCTGGGCCAGCTTTTCGTAGCAAAGCTTGCGACCTACGTCAACCCGAACCAGATCATTGTCAATCTCGCCAATTCGGGCCTTACCAGCGGTACCAACATCGTCAAGCCAGCAAGCGAGTCATGGTTCATGGGCCTGATGAAGAAAACTATCGGCCGCAGCGTGGAGGTTGGCGCTAGGAGCTATCTTGATGCGGCAATAGTAAAGGGCAGAGAGAGTCACGGAAGCTTCACCTCGGACGGACTTATCAAGCCGTAAGTCAAACTATAAGAATCTCCCGAGCTGAGGATCGAGCGATCATCGAGCTAACATGAATTCAGATGGCCAGCTGTGATGTACACATCTGAGGGGAATGGCCTCAAGGAGAGGATATGGGCAGAGACGAAGAAGGAGCCTGGTTTCGCAGAGGCCTTTGCAGAGGTTGAAAAGGGCCTCTGAGCATTTAGAGTGCGCAAAACGTCGCCGCTTCAGCTGAGGAAGAGATGTGTACTATGAATCACTAAGGAGGCTATGTAATATTTGGTGAATTCCCCAATAGCCTACAAAGTTGAGGCTGGCGTGTGCAGGTACGGCGTTATTAAGCGGATATAGCTCAAGAAGCAAACTGGAATACGTACGAGTAAGATGAGTATCCAATCTACTTTGTCACTAGACGAGTACCACTTTACGCCTGGGAAGATGCTTATATCGTTGAATGAGAGGAGACGGTGCCCAAGCACAGAATGAATCCACCCATTCAACAGCCACCTTGGCTTGCCAAAAGACGTGTAGGTCTCCTATCACTTGAGGGTTCTCGGGAAAGGACGGCTAGACGAAGAGCACATTGTGTATCGTCTGAGATGCCGATAACTTACTCTCCACACGGTTCGCAGGTTCAAGCTCAACCGTGATTGTACTCAATCATTGGCCGTTCCACATGATGGCACATAGACAGCTCACACCTTGTGGTGATGTACAGTTTGGTCATCTCAAAATGTCCCGAGTCAGTCATCGTCGCAGCATTTGGAATCGGAAGACTTGTTGAGGCATTTTCACGTCTCTAAGTACCTACTAGTATATTACAAATGCCCTGGAGGAATTAGGCTACCGAGCAGATTTGTCTTTGATGCCTGCCTTCAAGCTCAATACAGCCCTGCAACGGTCAACACCTTTTGAAATCGACGAATACTCTATTGAGTTTCAGCTGCCTGCTTGACCCACCTTGTGGTATCTAAGTGACCTTACTTTGTGATCTGTACGGTACCAACATACTTGGGCATTCACTTAATTCCTTGTCCATCGGAGAAATATTGTTGGAAGGTACATAATCCATCTTTCTCCCTGTAATCCTTTACAACATCTTCACTCTGCATCATCTCAACATCCATCGATTGACTTCCACCTTCGTCTCAACTAACGTTACGATCAACAGTTCACCGCCCCTACAGACCAAAAGGGCAGAATGGCTTCTGTACCCACACTCCGAGAGCTTGCAAAGCAAGTCTCTGAATCCATTTCAAACGAACATTTGTCCGGTAGTACGTTTGCTATCGGCGGCGAGGTTCCTATCGAGCAGCCGCAAGGCCAATCTAGCCCTACAGCTCAGGTTGCGTCTTCTTCGGTCATTCTTCGTTGGGACAATCCAGCGGAGCGTCCTGGTCCCCAGCGAGTCTCTTTCCCAGTCGCTTCAGATGACGACGCCGTCGCGTTCGACCACCTCCTCAAAGTCTCTGAAAAGGCTACATTCGGTCTCGACGGGCGGCACGAATTTGATGAAACCTACCGCAAGGCTCAGAAGCTCGGTGCGGGTGATTTCTGCACCACCTTCTGCCCGTATGAAACAGGCATCATCGACGCTGTTTGCCAGGTTCTTCTCCCCAGTTATGACATGGACGAAGACAAGCGGGCAATCCGTGCGGAGCTGTACAACATGAATGTAAGTGGGTTGATGTATGATGGTGTACAACCTCGATGTCTCTGACATGACGTTTTACAGATCTACTCTGGTCCTTCGGGCAAGTTCAAGGCGCACGTCGATACTCCTCGTTCGCCTTACCAGATTGGCTCCTTGGTTGTCTGTCTTCCGATGAAGCATGAGGGTGGCGAGCTGGCCGTGAGACATTTTGGACAGACTCATTCCTTCGACTGGGCCAAGAGCTCCACCAAGTCTGTCATTCAGTGGGCGGCCTTCTACAGCGACTGCGAACACGAAGTGTTCGAGGTCAAGTCCGGTCACAGGGTTACGCTGACATACAACTTGTATGCGACAGCAGGAAACGGAGACCTTGGAGGTCAAATATCTGCTTTCAGCCCTACTTCGCTGCCACTCTACAAGCAGGTTGTAGACTTGCTCGGCTCCGAGAAATTCCAGTCCAAGGATAGACTTCTGGGAGTCTACAGCACACACGCTTATCCTCACACCGAGAAGGAGCACGGCCTTCCGTTCTGCCTTAAGGGTCTTGACATGGTGATCTACAACACCTTCAAGAGCCTAGGCTTGGAAGTACACTTGTGTGCTATTCTCGAAAACCCGAAAGGCTTTCGAAGGCGCAAGCTTTACAATGGGGAATTCTCTGATGAAGATACAGATGCCGAGCCAACGCAGAGGAAGATAAGATTGGCGAAGAACAATAATGGGGCCGGATCAGACTCGGAAGACGACGACGATAGGAAGTACTACACCAGGACTGTAGGATACATCAACCAAGCATACTCCACGGACGAGCAGGTTGAGTACCGAGATGACATGAAACGCATCATCAACGAGGCCATGGGAACCGATAAGGTTAAATTCGACGCTAGCAAGATCATTTGGCTGAACAAGAACAATGGCGAGTCGAATATGCAGGTGTCATATATGGCAGTAGGTTTCCCTATCGCCCACCTCACGTTGAGATCTGAATTTAGCTAACATGTACATGCAGTACGGCAACGAGCCATCCTCCGAGGAAATCTACTCATACTTTGCGATGGTCACTGAAATCCCTGCTGTTGGAGTGAATGCAAGCGATAACACGGAAGCATAGAATCATGCGCCATATTGATGGAAAGGACTTCGGGGTAAGAAACGTCGATAGAGACACCGACAGTCACAGATAACATGCCCGTGGGATGGAATCAAGTATCAGTATATCTTTAGATAAAATAGTAACTAGAATCATCTCCAAGTTTACGAAGACTAGCGTATTGTGAACAAGACAATTTTATGGAATGGTAGACGATCGCAGCCTAAGCAGCAAGGTACCGTCCATGTTCAGGTCCAGGTTTCGAGGCGACGGCACGGGCCCAACATTTTCCTGATCGGGCCTGCAGCGAAAATGGAACCTTTCCAGGCAACCGCTCAATGTTCCAAACTAACTTGCCGTGTATTCTTGCCAAGTTCCTTTCCCACGTCACAACGAGCATGAGTCCCCGTATATGCTCGTGCACTCTCTGTGGATGGATCGTCGTCGATGCACCAGGCAGCGTTTCTTGGCTGAATCAGTTCCGCGGAGGTAAGCGCTCTGAGTTTGTTTTTGGTAGTAGTAAGCATCCTAACTTGATCCGAAGTCACTTCAAGTCCAAATGGCGTCATTCTCACCGGTGTTGGCTTATACGATGATCCGGCAAGGGGCGCATTCATCGCCCCAGTCGACCTCAAGCGTCGTTGGGATGACCCAACCTACGACAGTACAGATGAAGACCAATTTGGTGCTATGGGCTTCCCGCCAGTCAACGGAAGACACGGCTTTGTTTTCCATGAAGCCTGCTGGGACCTCTTAGAGAAAGCCTTCCATCCGAGTCCAGTTCCCTTATTGAGACTATTCGACGTCTGCGAATCACTCCCATTTCCGCTATTGTCAGTAGGTATCAGCTGGGGCCACGACTACGGGGGAGCCAGTATCGTCGATAATGAACACCACTTTCCGTTCGAGGACAGATTTTCCGACCGGGAATACATGGACCCCGACCCCGTTCTCAGCGCCAATCCGTACGAAGCCGAAGAGGCACACCACTTGCTCACTGAGGCACCCGAAGAGCCGCCAAGTCCAGAGGGGCCTATTTCCAATGCTGCAGCCCCAGAACCAGAACGGGACAGCTTCTATGCGCTCCTAGAAGAGCTACGGTCAGCGATCGCTATTTGCCTACCGACTTTGGATGTATTGAACCTACGGTTGTCCTCACGTTCGTTCTGGACGATTTTCAATAGTCAACAGTTCTGGGCCTCGAGATTCAAACATAAGTCAGACCGCTCATGGCTTTTTGAATCCCAGGACGGGGCTCAGCCTCGGGACTGGAGATGGCTGTATCGTCGAACCAACAATGCGCACATAGGTCCCGGCCTCCAGAATAGAGTTCGTGTTTGGAACCTGGCCCAGAAAGTTGTGACAGCTCTGGACTTCCAATGGATCGACAGTGGTTCAGAACCTTCCCAACAGCAAGGCTCGACCCAGCGTTTAAAAGTGTCGGGAGACTTGTGGGAGAGACCGAGCGGGCCACACCACTCCCACTTGGATAAGGGTTGCCTTCTCCGCGAAACGTACCGCCTGACCATCCCTGAAGACCTATCGATGGTTTCTATCTGGTCTATTCCCGTAGGAGAGATTCTATACATCGCTGGACTGAAGTTTACCACGGCCGCAGGCGATGTTCGTCAAATAGGCTACAGAACTACTGCTGAGCAGTTTGTGGAGATTTCAGACATAAGCGGCTTCAAGCTAGCTGTGGGAGAAAGGGGGATTCAAGCTTTGCAATGCATCAATCAGAATTTCGACACCTCCCACTGGCTCGGCAGTCCGGAGACGTCGCTCAAGACACTGCGCTTCAATGTAGGCGAGCGCATCAACTACCTTGATATTGGATTTGATGTGAGTCAAGTGGACCTTTTGAGCTTTGTCCCATGCAAGTATGCTGACTTCACAGGGTTGCAAAATTGTGAGCTTGGCTATCTTTCCCCATTCTTCATCTATCGCAAGACTAGCACAGGATGACAACAGATTGAGAAATATGGGGATGTGGTACCCTGAGGTCCCGGGACCAGACCTCTGCTTGAATGAAACTTCTTTCGCCCCCAGGGAACATTACTTGGACGGATTCAAACCACTATTTTGGACCTCCTTCGGCGGCCCAGGTGGTGCCCACCTTCGAACACTCAACAATATGAGAGTCGTCCTGGGCCGCGCCGGCATACGCCGCATCGACTTCACATACAATGTTCCAGAACTCGATAGAACGTTCGGTTGCCAAATGCCTGGAGATTTGACAAAGGAAATCATTTTTGAAATCGATGGAGCAGGAGGCGAACTCATCAATGCGGTCGAAATTCTCCAGGAAAACGTTGACCCTGAAGATGCTTACACATGGATGGTGGAAGAAGGATTCATAGCTGCATTCAAGGTGAGTTGCCCATGTTCACCTGTCCGTTGTCCAAACTCCCCCGCAAGAGATGTGCGCTGAAGTAATCACGTTGAGGTGTCCACGAATCGAGGAAGGAGCTGCTTCTTCTCCATTCAAGATAACCTACCAAGCAATACTTCGTTTCTAGTCACCACAGGTCCTGGAGAGGCCATCACTGGGTTTTACGGAAGCCAGGTAAGCACGTCCGCACACTTACACTGCGTGTCTTCTCGCGAGGTATCTTTCATTGACTGACGAGAGTAGCATTCCCATGAGGGTAGTAGCATTTCGGCTTTGGGTGTCATCTCCGAAGCGATTGAAGGAAGTTAAAGATTGAGTTGATGCCGGGATAAGGTAGAAATCGTCCGTTGGCCCCCAAGTTCTGGGGAGGGCTGGGAACCGGGCTGTTGCCCAAGTCTTGAAGTCTGCCGTTACCGAATGATTGGCCACGTTATTGTGCATGTCACGCTATCGTGAATTTTGAAAGGCAGGCGACGAACTTTTGTGGAGTTGTTACTGAGCTTGTAATGGCATGAACGAGGGAAAGGAAGGCAAGGTTGTAGGGTGAACTTGAGAAACGTCATTTTCGATAGAAAAAAAAGGATGACTTGAAGACCTCCATTAAATACGATTAGAGATGCGACACTCTTGAAGTAACTTGCGAAAGAGGTGGCATCCCATTCACTTCAAAAGAATACTGGCGGGGTCAGCTACTTAGTCACAAAAGCCCAGGTGCACTCAGTGTAAAGTCAAACGCTGCCCGACTCCCTTTTTGGAATGTATCGGTACGGATACATGTGGAACAGAGCATGTAATGTTGGCCGATACCCCTACCTTGCGTAAAACAGATGGGGCCCCTGGCCTATTCACTATAGGTAGCTAGCCGCGTCGCGAAAAGTCGCGTCTTTGACCAGTGTGCAGGTTGGTCAGAAAGCCTGCACTTCAGATACACTGCTGCTGCGTTTGTCCCTTAGCAAATCTTCCACTCGCCATACCAGCGTTCTTCACTTCGCCCAGTGGAGTAATTCTGCCTTTGTACAAGTTCCTGTCCTTACCGCTGTTTCTCATATCCTTACCCGCCTCAAGGTTCTGATGTACTTGATCCTACCTTATCCCACGTACCAGCCAGTAACCTCACAAGTCGCTGACAACAACAGCGATTCCCGCAAAAGGGGACGTGCTTCAGAACATAGGCCGACCCACCCTCATCTATCCGTATTCTCACCTCATTCATCATTTTCAGTGCGACGACGGACGTGCTCATAGAGCTTCACTCCCAGGTTTAACGCCGCTTTTCAATCTGCGCGCAGAAATCTTACAACTCGTGTTGCACGCGTCTTAAGTGTAAATACTGCCTACAAGGCCAACCTATGTAAGCCTCATTCAGGCCAAAGACGTCATCTCAAAACAGCCACTGTGACAGCTCGAGTGGTCACATCCCGCTTCCCATGTCCAATGCTCGCGCTAGGTCAGAGGCAGCGTAAGTCCTTCATAACCTTCCTCATCTCCATATCAACACCTTTCATTCAATCGTTGAAACCGTATTATACATCTCGTAAACTGACCGACCGTTGTCTTCGCGACGTACAGCATCCTGGGCATAGACTGGGGCAGCACCGCCATACGTGCAACCATTTGCGTCCGGAAGACCAAGGAGCTGCATCCAGTTTGGAACCACGGCGCGGTTCCTGGACATGACATCCGCTATCAGACCGGTGCCTTCAACTCAACTCTCTACGTCGACGATCGCGGCGGCATAGTGTACACGGGCGAGGTCTACAACCAGAGCTGCACGCCCATTCCCTCAAAATGGTTCCTTTGCGAAGACCGCGAGACCGGCAACCCACTCCTCGATGGCCTCTTGGCAAAGTTCAGAGGCATGGAGAAGCGGATCCGCAGGGCCCTGGAAGCCATCGTGAGGACCGTATTTCAGGAGGTGACGACTTTTTGTGCCGATCGTGCGCTTCATATTGACGAAATTGGTTTGTCGCATCCAGCGCACTGGACAGCTCAGGAGCTGTTCAACTACGAGAACCTGATTGCCGCCGTCATGATGGAGTCTAATACGTTTACAAGAGCACACGGTCGCATCAAGCTCCATGTGGAGAGTCTGGCATCGGCTCACTTTCTTTTCTCGAGCCCGCGTCACATGAAGCAGATACTCACTAAAGTGGACGAGCCCTGTCATTTGGTGTTTCTCGATTTTGGAGGTCACACAATGGTGAGTCAGCGGTAGCGATGTTCGGGACTTTGCCATCTTGGCCTGGAGAGATATTGACCGCGGTGGCGCAGAACGGCTGCATATTCAGCGCAGTACGACGGCGTGGCGATGAGTTGCATTATTTTCAAGTTGGGGAACCTTTTAGTAAGTCCAGTCAGATTCTCGATACGTACACCCACAGAGCCACGTCTAATTAACGATCGATCAGCCGCTCATGGCGGTACACAGCTATGGGAGAAAAGAGTTGATGATTTCGCAACAAATTACGTCGAAAAGTCATTCAAATCGACTCTACTCCCAAGCCAACGAGCAGACCTTTTGGAGATGTTCCACTTGAAGATCAAGAGGCTACAAACAGGCTTGTTCGCGAGCATGGTCTTGCACGCAGAAGATCCAGATAATCACGGTAGTATATCAGTACACTTACGCGCGACCGATGCCAGGCAATGCTTCCTCGACGGGCTAGAAACCCCCCTCAGACTCGCCAGGAAGAAAATTGACGCCGCTGTCGCCCTGGGCTCAAACGTCAAGATAGTTCTGTCTGGCGGCAGTGGCAAGAACGTTCTAGTGCAGGCGAATCTCCTGCAAGTTTGTGCTCAACTCAAGATTGACGAGCCGTTCCTCTTTTACGAGGCGGTGGGTGAGAAAGAGTATGTAGTTTGGGAACTCGAAATTCCACAAGGTTCGGAGATGAGTAAGTTGCTAATACGTCCTGTGTCTCGACAGCTCTTTCAACATCAGCAAAGGCGCTGCTCTTGCGGCGGTCGATAATATTATGGCAAAGGAATTCATTGACAGGGGCGCTGCTTTCGGTTTCCAAACAGGTCGCCCGTTGAAGGGCGCTAATGGCAGCTTCATAAGCTGGGATAATACTGCCTTCCTGGCTCTTGATTCTGTAAGATGTCCCCCGAACTCCAGGTGTTCACTTAGGTCTTTGCGTTCTCAACCCGGTCTATGGACGTGCGTTGCTAGATGCCGATCAACCATTTTGCTTTTCCCACTGACAAATGCTCGATCTGGCAGGATGGTCCCCATTACTTTAGAAAGCGCTACAGCGGGACGACGAGGCTCAAGATCGTCTGTGACCCTCAGCTTCAAGCCTCTGCCAAATGGGACCACGTTCCAGCAACGTGTTGCTACGACATTCTCGAATTAGCGCCGCCTACCAAAGGCCACTGGGAATTCTGCTTACAACTACATGACTTCGGTGACGGCAAGCTGGGGCTGACAATTCGAAAGAACAAACTGTCGTGGAAGGGAAAAGCCGTATTGAATAAGACGACCTACGGCCCTTTTCCCCTCGAATACGACACGTCTTCGAGGTGTTGTCTGATCAACCTGGACCGGGTCAAGACCGAGAGTACCGACTTTGAGAATGGCATCTTCTTGACCGAGGACGGGAAGCTTGTGCCGTGCGACCCGGAGGCGGTGAACGATCAAATCCAGGATCTGCAAAAGGAGAACAATGATCGACTCAAGGAGTCGGGCGGGATCAATACGTCCATGCCGCAAAAGGTGAAGGAGCAGCAAGAGAAGCAGGGGCAGCAGCAGGAACAACAGGAAAGCAGAGCGGCAGGAAAGCGGCCCAGGTCCACGTCGGTTTCTCAGACGAGGGGCAGAGGGAAGCCGCATAAGAAGTCCGGCCGTGATGACGATAGGGGACAGGAACCGGCCTACAAGAAACGACTCATGAAGCGGTAGCACGACACGAAACCACGGAGGCAGTAAGCAGGCGAATCCTGAATGTAGTAGACACTCGGGCGCGGGCCTTGATAGAGTGCTCAGTGTATTCCCAGCACCCTCGCCTGGGGATTGTAGTTATTTGTACTTGTTATATGAGAAGAATGGTCTGCTTCATCTTATGTCGGCAACAAGATCATCATGGTAGGGTCAGAGGAGAGGGAGAATCATGTTCCAGCGAAGAGGCCGAGGATGATGATCTAGAGGTGAGGGCAAGGGCAGTTGAAAATTTGGTGTGCGAGGTCTGTGGCGAAGTGTCAGATTTAGAAAGCAGCCCAAGACGCGGGATTCTAAGACGCTGGAACGAGGTGCAGTCCGAGAAGGAGATGATGATGAAGAAGGGTCTCAGGTTCGTTCAAGGAGAAAGAGGACACACAAGAATAAAGGGTTTGTCGTGCCACAAAGCCCGCAAATTGAGCCATTAATATGTCCAGAAGCCATGGAAACCGACGCAAATGAAATCTAGATGCCACTCATGCGAATAAACCCCTTTCGCGAATGGCTTTGCCGCCAGACCCGCTCCAGCCCAGGTGAAGCCGCTCTCCCTCACCATCACTTAGGCTGTCCCATATCTGCACCTTGGATGGCAATACCCCGAAGCCACTTTCGCTGTTAATATCATTATTGTTCGCCTATAGTAACCAGAAGTTCGGAACTTCAAGTCTATGCTAATTTTGGGGACACAGAGATGATGTATTAACTGGCAGCGTGTCTTTCACATTTCAAAAAGGAAGCAAGCCAGCTTGCAGCAATACTTGTTGCAGCAAGAGAACGCAAAAGAGGATATAGAAGGTGTGTCAAACATGCAGTCATTATATTGTTGAGCAATCTACTCAATGACCTAATGTCCCAAGAAGTAACCGCTTAATATTAACCACATGAATGGAACTCTGTGTTCTCGTTTTCAGGCAGTTGCACACATCACGATGATCTTACCAAATTCATCATCGCACTTCAAAGCCCACATCCACACAAAGTTCCTGTGGTCTGCAAACCACCTGGCCACGCTAGGGTCTTGCCGGGGCTATCCATAACGCCCAAGACGGCACATCGGCAACGGCCACAGTCCCCGCGTTGACTGGCAAGCTTTGAGCAGATATCTTCATGCAAGGGCAAACACTGTTGGAACAAGGGTTCGTGCAATTGGCTTTGCCTTTCTGTGTTGGATGTTCTGCGCGCCCAGACGCAGCAATCATCCAAAACAGTACCTGCCTAAATACATGTTTGCTTGGTGACTA